GGCCTCCCGCCTGCTGCTGGGCCTGCTGCTGGCCCCACTGCCCGGGCGCCCCCTGCAGAGCGGCGCCTGCCCGCAGCTGTGCGTGTGCGAGGTCCGGCCCTGGTTCACCCCGCAGTCCACCTACAGGGAGGCCAGCACGGTGGACTGCAACGACCTGCGCCTCACCCGCATCCCCGGCAACCTGTCCAGCGACACGCAGGTGCTGCTCCTGCAGAGCAACAGCATCGCCCGGACGGCGGACGAGCTGCAGCAGCTCTTCAACCTCACCGAGCTCGACTTCTCGCAGAACAACTTCAGCAGCATCCGGGAGGTGGGCCTGGCCAACCTGTCGCAGCTCACCACCCTGCACCTGGAGGAGAACCAGATCGCCGAGATGACGGACGGCTGCCTGCGGGGCCTCAGCAGCCTGCAGGAGCTCTACATCAACCACAACCAGATCAGCGCCATCTCCGCGCGCGCCTTCGCCGGCCTGCACAACCTCCTGCGGCTGCACCTGAACTCCAACAGGCTGAAGGTGATCGACAGCCGCTGGTTCGACGCCACGCCCAACCTGGAGATCCTCATGATCGGCGAGAACCCCGTGATCGGGATCCTGGACATGAACTTCAGGCCCCTCGCCAACCTGAGGAGCTTGGTCCTGGCGGGGATGTACCTCACCGACGTCCCCGGGAACGCCCTGGTGGGCCTGGACAGCCTCGAGAGCCTGTCGTTTTACGACAACAGGCTGGTCAGGGTGCCCCAGCCGGCCCTGCAGAAAGTCCCAAATTTGAAATTCTTAGACCTGAACAAGAACCCCATCCACAAAATCCAGGAGGGGGACTTCAGGAACATGCTCCGGCTGAAAGAGCTGGGGCTCAACAACATGGGCGAGCTGGTGTCCGTGGACCGCTACGCGCTGGACAACCTGCCCGAGCTCACCAAGCTGGAAGCCACCAACAACCCCAAGCTCTCCTACATCCACCGCCTGGCCTTCCGAAGCGTCCCCGCCCTGGAGAGCCTGATGCTCAACAACAACGCCCTGAACGCCGTCTACCAGAAGACGGTGGAGTCGCTGCCCAACCTGCGCGAGATCAGCATCCACAGCAACCCCCTGCGGTGCGACTGTGTCATCCGCTGGGTGGCCTCCAACAAGACAAGCATCCGCTTCATGGAGCCGCTGTCCATGTTCTGCGCCACACCGCCCGAGCACCGGGGCCGGCAGGTGAAGGAGGTCCTGGTCCAGGACTCGGGCGACCAGTGCCTCCCCATGATCGCGCACAACACCTTCCCGAGCCACCTGAACGCGGAGGTCGGCGCCACGGTCCTCCTGGACTGTCGGGCGATGGCCGAGCCAGAGCCCGAAATCTACTGGGTCACCCCCCTCGGGAACGAGGTAACTGCGGAAACGCCGTCCGACAGGTACAAGCTGAGCAGCGAAGGCACCTTGGAAATCTCTGACATACGAACCGAAGACTCGGGGAGATACACCTGCGTCGCGCAGAACGCCGAAGGGGCGGACACGCGCGTGGCGACCGTCAAGGTGAACGGGACCCTCCTGGATGGGGCCCAGGTGCTCAAAATATACGTGAAGCAGACGGAATCCCACTCCATTTTGGTCTCCTGGAAAGTGAACCCCAACGTGATGACGTCGAACCTGAAGTGGTCGTCGGCCACCATGAAGATCGACAACCCACACATCACCTACACGGCCCGGGTGCCCGTGGACGTCCACGAGTACAACCTCACGCACCTGCAGCCCTCCACCGACTACGAGGTGTGCCTCACCGTGTCCAGCATCCACCAGCAGACCCAGAAGTCGTGCGTCAACGTCACCACCAAGACCGCGGCCTTCGCGCTGGACATCTCCGACCAGGAGGCCAGCACGGCCCTGGCCGCCGTCATGGGGTCCGTGTTCGCCGTCGTCAGCCTGGCCTCCACGGCCGTGTACGTCGCGAGAAGGTTTAAGAGGAAAAATTACCACCATTCCTTAAAAAAGTACATGCAGAAGACGTCCTCGATCCCCCTGAACGAGCTGTATCCCCCGCTCATCAACCTCTGGGAAGGTGACAGTGACAAAGACAAAGACGGGTCGGCGGAGACCAAGCCCACGCAGGTGGACACGTCCAGAAGCTACTACATGTGGTGACTCGGCGGTTTCGCTTCGGGCAGCAAGGAGCACAAAGACGTTTTTGCTTTTGTTCTGCAAAGGTAACAGGTGGGAGACTTTTGTATTTTTGACTTGGCTGGCTCGTGGCGGAGCGGCGAGGACGGGTGGATATTTCCGATTTTTTTAGTATAGCGTCTCGCAAGCGTCTGACACGGCCGACGGCGGGCCCCGGCTTCCGGTGTGTGTTTGCTTTTTTAATTTTTATCATTATTAGGATGATTATTATATGATGATGATGATTTTGTTTTAGTTGCCGTGCTAAACCCCATAATGCTGTTCTAACTACCGTGCTCCGTAAAACGACCAATGACAGGTTGGGGTCCCCGCGCTTTCACCAGGAGCGTGACCCCCTCCTCTTCTGAAGCCATCGGCAGGAAGCCCCGTGTCCTCCAAAGAGCTGGCAGCGCCGGTGGCAGCATCGAACCTCCGCAGCCGTCGGCCTCGGGACCCGGCCTCGAGCGCCGAGGCGAGACGTGGTGCCCGTGCTGAGTGACGTTAGCTGACTTCACTGTAACGTTGTATCAACTGGACGGAACGTTTGCCTTCGAACAATGACTTTTCTTTTTTGTAATAGTTTAAAACAACAGCTTAGAACAAGCTAACAGGCAATAGAAACATGTATATCAGGTTTTTTTAATGTAACAAACTCCACGTTACTTGTTACCTTCTTTTTATCTTTAGTAGACACTTTTAAAAGGAAAGACAATGATTTTTGTTGTGTTTAACTCACCAACATGTGGTGTATAATGAAGACAGAACTATAATAAATTAGTTTTGTTCTGATTTTTTAGAACACTGGCAATAATGTATCATTTATAGCTCTTGCTGGCGGTGCGGTGATATTTTTTTTCACACCCCTGAAACCAACCACCAAAATAAACCAGCTGCAGCGCGATGCTGTAGCCCTTCAAACGCTCTCCTCTACTCCCAATTTTTCCTAAGATCCTCCCCCTACCTCCAGCAGAATTTCTACTTTTCTTTAAAGAGCACAGTCCTCATGTTGGGTTTCTAGAGTGGCCATAACAAAACGCCACACACCGGGTGGCCTCAACAGCAGGAATTTATTTGGGCACAGCTCTGGAGGCTGGATTTGGAGGCAAGGGGTCGGTGAGGTTGGCTCCCTCTTAGGCTTCTCCCCTTGGCTTCTGGATGCCCGTCTTCTCCCTGTGCCTCACGTGGTACCCCGTGTCTTCATGGTGTCCCTGTGTCTTCACGTGGTTCCCCTGTGTCCTCATGTGGTTTCCCTGTGTCTTCACGTGGTGTCCCTGTGTCCTCACATGGTTTCCCTGTGTGTGTCTGTGTCCTAATCTCTTCTTATAAGGACACCTGTCATATCAGACTAGGGCCCACCCTAACGCCTTACTTTTAACTTAATTACCTCTTTAAAAGTCCTATCTCCAAATACAGTCACATTCTGAGGTTCTGAGGTTAGGACTTCATCCTATAAATTTGGGGGACACACACTTAGCCTCTAACAGTCCCACCTGGGAGGCTGGCTCGGAGGCACAGTCAGGAAGCCAGCGGTCTCAGGGACACTGTGTGGGGCACATTCTTCACGGTGACGTACAGGACAAGTCCAGGTGGTGCCTGCACCCGAGGGCCTCATCAGGGCTGAGATAAATGAATGGCGGAGAAACCTTCACAGACCAGTGAGCTCGACACCCTTCCTCAGATGGAGAAACTGAGACCAGGGAGAGAGAGCCACTTGGCCAAACTCTCCCACCCTTGGGTGGAGGAGCTGAGACTAGAACTCAGGTCTCCTGGGTGTCAGAAATGGGAAAACTTGAGCTTTCCCCTAGATTGCCCCGCCCTGCGTCAGGATAACGGCCCGACCTCCTTCATCCAGGGCGCCCAGGATGGCTAAGCGACGGTCAGACAGAGCTCGCTCACGAGAGCCTGGCTTCAGCGGCCACGACACGTGGGGAGGGCCCTCTGTGCTTGGCCCGCCCCGCCTGGAGCCGTGTGCTGAGCAGAGCCCGGCAGCACCTCCCCAGCCCATTTTTACTCTTCTGGAAAACAGGCATTTTGTTTTCAAAACAGAGGGGATGTCATCTTTTCCCTGCCATCCTGTGCGGAGCCCTATGGCCAGGCGGACGTCATCCATCGTCATCTTTCCAAACGCGAGCGCCTGCTTCACGCAGTCACTTCGAACAGGGCCCTGAAGGAGACTGGTAACTACTGCGAGGGGAGAGACTCGGCTCCGAAATACAGAATCCCCAGAACCAGCTTAAACTCAGCTATAAAATCATCCCGCACGCCCCCTAATCTCCCAGGCTCAGAGCTCAGAGGCTCCTGGGCGCTCCCCTCACGCGCTTCCTGCAGAATTTCAATTAAGATGAAACCGGGGTTTCTGAGAGGCTCAGACGCGGAGCCAGGGAAGCCCTTTCACGCCCGCAGAGCGCAGTTCCTGGGGCCTTTCCTCCTGGGAAGGAAGAGCCCCTGGTCCCGGCTCCTCCTGCCGGACTCTGAGAACTTACCTCCACCAGCGATGGGCTTATTGGGACATATCACTTCCTAAGACAGTTCTCAGTTACGGATATTCTTGACTTTCAGGCAAAATTTGAATGTTATAAATAAAGTTCCACATCATCTTACATTTTTAAAAATCCTTGAGGAAGTATTCATGAGCATTTGCTGGGTGCCAGGCACCCAGGGTCTCAGGTGGATGCATTTACCATTTGGGGCCAAGCAGCGTGCTCAGGGTACCACCTCCTCCCAGAAAGGGGGGACCCCTCCAGATGGCGGCCACCCAAGTGGAGTCCAGGAGAGCGCCCTTGACTCGAGCCTGGCACTCCACGGAGCGGAAATGCCCAGGGGGCGCCCAGGGAGGAGGGCACTCAGGCTGGAGCAGAGGCAGGGCCACCTCTGGGGGCATTTGGAAGGGAGGCGACCGAAGGGCCTCGGAGAAGAGGAATGAAGCTCGGAGCCTGTCAGGGAGGGAAGAGAGAGGAAAGAGACCTGAGAATGTAAATTACGGGGCACTTGCCACAGGAATCAGTTCAGCTGCGGGACCAGGGAGAGGTGGTAAAAACGGCAACTCCTGTGAGCCAGTCGGGGGTTCTGGGCGCGATGGCGAGCCCATTATATGCGTAATTCCACTGAACCTTCAAACAACCCGAGAGGAAGGCCCCGCCGTTCCCTCCGTTTTCCATTTGAGAAACCGTTTTCCATTTGAGGCTTACAAGGGCTGAGCAACTCGCCAAGGTCACCCAAGGGCGGGATCGGGCAGTTAATTCCAGACTCTGGGCTGTGACCACAGCTCGGGCCTGAGATCCAAATAGTGAGGACACTGCCAGGCGGGTGGGACTGCCTGAGACGGCCCATCGGACTCCGAGGGTGCTGGGGGCCAGGGACGGGCTCTGGGCAGTGCGAATCGCCTCAGCGCTGCCTTCAGGACAAAGGCATCGATGGCCACGGAACAATTATCCAAAATACATACACCAGGAGGCCTGCCCGGAATTCACACAGAAAGCCAAAGAAGACCACAGCTTTCGGGAACAAAGGCTGAGGCTGGTGTCAGCTGCCCTAAAGGACCAAAGCAGCTGATAAGAGAGCCCCCCCACCCCCGTCCCCGGCTCCGCTCCCTGGGCAGCCGTGGCACCGGAAAGTCCCCAGGTCCTTACGGCTGTTGGAAGGTTTAACAGTGACTGCCTCCTTTTTCAAAGCTGGACAGGAGCAAAAATCAATCACCCCACCGGCCGGGGATTATCTGGGGCAAATGGTTGAGCCCGACACATATCCCCACGACCCGCACCAACGCTCCACCTCAGTGCTGGGAGCTGTCCAGCTTCTCAAATTTGACATCAAACTTGTGGGCCTTTTACAGCAACTTAACACAATAAAATGTGAGAGTTTGTCACCAGAAAAATAGCGAGATACACAAATTACCATGCAAACCTACAAAGAATCCACATTCTGAACTAACTACCCATTGCAACGCCACCGGGCCCCTACGCTGACACTCCTTAAGGCGTCCCCATCGATACGTGAGAGACCCAGTGTTAGAGACCGCGTGTCAGCTTATTTACTTGTCCGTAACTGGTATCCTTAAAACCACATTTCCTCCCAGCCAGTGTGGCTCAGTGGCTGAGCGTCGACCCATGAACCAGGGGGTCACTGGTTCTTTGCCTGGTCAGGCACAGGCCCGGGTTGTGGGCTCGATCCCCAGCAGGGGGCGCGCAGGAGGCAGCCGATGGATGACGCTTCTCTCCCCTCGGTGTTCCTGTCTCTCTATCCCCCCTTCCTCTCTCTCTAAAAATCAATAAAACACAATAAAACCACATTTATGGGAAATCGCCTACCTAGTTATTGGAATTCAGAAGCTCATGGGCGAAAGTGTCTTGGCCAATGAGGTCAAATTCTGTGATAACGGAATAGCCGGGTTACACCATGAACTATGTCATTCACTCACGCACCCCTAAGTCAGTCTTTCTTCAGCCCTATTGTTTGCCTGGCACTGGGCTGGGCCCCGGGCCACAAGAGGACAAAGCAGACTCGGTTCCTGCCCTTCCTGGAACTTGTGTCCTTGGGAGGCCATGAGTTTGTAAGTAAACTCGGGACAAGTGCTGTGAAGACAAGGAAAGGACTGAGGTTAGACGAGCGGGTGTGGGTGAGAGGGGTCCCCCGTCCGCAGGTCCATCTGCAGAGCACCCTGGATCGTGCAGGTGCGGAGGGGCTCAGACCCTTGGTGCCGGCCCCGGAGCGAGAGCAGCGGGACCCCATGAGGACGCTGGTTGCTTGAGCACCTTCCCCCCAGCTGAGGACTGGGAGCGGTTTGCAACCAGCAGCTCCATTCGTCACCACGGCTCTTCCGAGAAGCAAGGGGGGCTCGGGCCTCGTTGCCTCCACGGACGGGAAGGGTGCTGGCCGGGCATCAGGAGCACAGCCACCGTGGGGCCGGGGCCGCGCCGAGCTCCGGCGGCCTGTCCTGGCCGTGTCCGCCGACGGCTCGTTCCACCCGCAGTGTCGTTTCAGGACCCACACATGCCCGGAGGCTTTGGAAAGTAACCAGCTCAACCCTATTTTATTTGTCAATAAGCCGAACTCAGAAAAAGAGCTTATTTATCTCACCCAGGAAATTGCCCCCAGCGTGAAGTTTGTTTACCTAAATTTATAAATTTTCCATGTGAGAACCGAGTGAACGGACCACAGACGCGATAACTTTGCTGAATGTTCCTCCTCAGCAGCAGAAACAGTCACCCAAAGAGCCAGCGCCCCACGTTAGAAATCTCTCCTACGAACTCATCGTGGCCTCATCAAGTGGGGTTTATTACGAGGTGGAGAGTCTCGTGGGCCACACCCAGGAGGATTCAGTTATTTAAACAGCCCAAGGACACCGGAGAATCACAGAGTGTCCTGGGAGGCTGGGGAAGGACCAGCGAGTGCGAATCTTTTAAGATTCCAGACGTAGTTTGAAGCCAGGTACCAAGCCCATCCCCGATTCCTTAATTTCTGGATTCAAGCGCCTACGTTGTCTCCTACCTCGCATGGACTTCGGCTGGGTTTCCCGGCTGGATAGGTGCCTGTGCCGTTTGTCCGACCTTGAGCCTGTCCCAGAAAGAGAGCAGAGGTGGCAGGAATGAGACTGAGCCACCGAGGGAGATGGCGTTTCATACTTTGGTCTAGCACGTCTTTGCCAGGCCTCTCGGCTTTCGTAGTTTGTGTTCATGGGACATGTCGGGACAGGGTAGGGCAGGAGAGGTGCCGTCGAAAAAACCATCCAGGCTGGAGGTCGGGAGGCCTTCGTTCCAGCCCGTGACAGCCTTTAACTACCGTGTGCTCTCTCCCAACGTCCCACCGCCATCCCCTCATCGACTGAACGTGGGGAGGGGGGTGGAAGAGCGGTTCCCTCAAGGCCTCTCCCAACCCTAAAATTCTGGGACCTGGTGAAATGTAATGACTTGCGTCCAAGTAGAG